GACGTGTGGCGCATCGACAATTTTACGTATTCGTTATTTATTCCATTCGATTACTTCGAGCGGTTCGCTAGTTCTCCGCGTGCCGTCTTTTTGAGGAAACGATAAACACCCGGAGGCCTCCTCTCTTGGCGTCAACAGCCGAGTGCGCGAGTACTGGCAGCATCAAAGAGAGATATCGATCGGGCACGTACGGTAAAAGAATTCTCTTTCTCTCTCGTTGACCTTGCGTCTTGACCTTTGCCAGCACACCCCGACCCGCAACGCCGATATCGAACTTCAAAGTATCGATTCTCGGGCACGCTAGAGTTTCGACTATTAATAATTTCGACGGTAGACTGCTCGTAAAATTTTCGCGACAACGCCGTTCTCGGGCCAGATATACAACGAGATATATTTCATCGTTAGAGTTCCTACACATTTGGTATAATTAATATCCTTATAATTTGCGATAAGACCAGTCGCACGTGATAACGAGATATGTTTAATTAAGAGCTATGTATTAAGTTTCGCATTATGCTGCATTATCTGTATGTATATATGTGTCTGGACGATTCTCAATGAAAAAAAGCGATAAAGAGAGAACTGCAAAAAGTCGTTATAATATCGGGCTATCCTTTCTAAGTTATTCAACTTGAATGGACTTGTCTGATGACATTCCCTGCTGACCTTACATGTTCCGCACAGCGATCAAAATAGCTTTCGTATTGCTTATCGCGTTTCCGACGTCGCAAATATTTGCCGACTCCAATTCCTGCTTAACGTTCATTTTCTTACTCATTAACAGCTCGCGAATTATCCTCCGAAACTGGTGCGCGTACAGGAAGCTTCAAGAGAAGCAATAAGAGAGAGAGAGAGAGTTCCACTGATAGTTTTTTTTCAAATCCCTGGAACTCTACGTTTGTTTAACAATTCCTTTTTTTAATTTTTAACGTCGAATACATTTTAATAATTAAAATTCAACTGAATTGCGAAATCGACCAAAGGCTTCGTTATCCGCTCTCTCGTTCATTCGTTTCGCCAAAAATTCTGCGAATTTAATCGCAACAATTAAATATATGGTTTCCGAAAATTAAATTCAAGCTCGATTCGCAGTTGTTTGTAACTCAAAAAATATGATTAGCTTGATATTGAAACGGCTGTTATTTTTCTCTTCTCCCTCTCTCTCTCTCTCGATCTCCGGTGCTCGGAGTTAAAATATACGTTGCGCTTTCGGAACATTCAGTACAGCTTCGAGACTACCAATGTATTTAGCTATTCAATATTTGCCTCTCTTTTTACATGTGTGCAGCGGCGTGTATCAATCCGGTAATAAACACGTGTAAGCGGTCCACGTGCCGGCGGGCGTGCGAGTCTCGCGCGTATTTATTCATATGTGCTAAAATCAATATAAAATCGCGAACGATATAATGTGCACGTGCCAGCGTGATGCGTAGCAATGTGCGTGCCTTCTCGATGATGCGTGCTCTTCCTCGTAAAATCCATGAGAAAAAGCACGCGGTGTGCTCCTCCAAGAACACACTCCTTTTTAATTATAGCGCCTTCTTCCCCGCTGATATTACGGTGTGCTTCTTTTTCCCGAGCGAGGAATTTCCGCTCGCGATTATTTCGGACAAGGAGATCCCTTAGGCGAGCGAAAGGCTTATTTTAATCCCGTCAACCACGCACGGTCTCGTTCGACGATCGAGAACACCGAGAACAAGTGGCTCGCTGTCGCATGCATCACGACGCGCTCTCGCTGTGTATTATCGATTGCACATGCACGTTGGCTGTCTCGAAATTGCCAGATGGGGCGTATATTTAGATTAATTCTCAAGGCAGTTAAAGAAAAAAAGAAAGATGATTAAAAAGAGAAGCCAGTTTTAATTCATCATGGAAAGGCTTAATGAGCTAGACACGGTTTAATAATGATACACAGATAAAAAATGTTGTTATTTTAACAAGGTGAATATGTTAATTTAACATATATTTGTGTGCTTTATAACATATTCCCATGGTAAAATAACAGAAAAATTTCAGTGGGCGGTTATTTGCACGAAATTTTTGGTCGTGTATATAACGAGTATTTATTGAGATCTCGTATAGAACAATTCAAGTGGAAAATAAATCTTTGTTACATTGATATTTCAAAACGTTTCGGCTTTCAACCAGACCATTTTCAAACTAATACAGTGCATAAACGGTCAAAAATAAGAACGGTAAACACAAGATCAAACACTATAAAGTTGTCAAGCGAGAGACTCAGTTTTAATTGTAACTCTTATATAACTTCAAAAACACTTCTTTTTCCTTAGTCCTCTCATTGTGTAATCGTGCGAATTATTTCGATCTATGCGGCTGCGTGTTATCACAAATCTGTGGTTGTGAACATTCAGTTGTGAAACAACCGAATGGAACGTTGTTTCCGGAAAAGAGACACGTGGATCGCGGCTGTTTGTCGAAAGATAACACGCTCCGCCGCCTCGGCAGGTTAATCGCAGGATAGAAGCTTCGTGCAGGTAGCGCAGGTATAGAACCGTGCAATGCATAAGTGGGTGGCGGGCGTCCCATCGCTCGGCGACACCCTTTGTATCGATGACGACGACTCAATGGCTGTGTATCGATTGTACTGCCTTCAGGCGAGGTCAAAGCCGAGGCGCAATAAACGCACGGCAAAATTTGTATCGAGCATTGTATTCGCGATTATGAGGGTTGGTGGAGGGGAAGGGGATGTCTGTGGGGTATCGAGAGCGTGTGCCAATCGGTTTTCCGAATAACTCGATGTTGTGGTGATTAGGATGGACAATTCTTGATCAGCTAATTATGAAATATTGACTTTAAAAAATCGGACCACAGAAAATGAAACTTTAAGTAAAAATAAATAAATAAAATAAATAAATAAAAATAAATTAGATAAATTAGATAAACGTAGATAAGTGTATAAAATGTTCATTCATTATTATGTCAAAATCAAACAATCAACTGAACATAGTTTTCTATTGTATTTTAATATAAACAATCATTAGTTATATTTTATTATAAACAATCATTAGTTTATGTATAAAAATAGACTGATAAAATTTTTGAGATAAAATCAAAGAAACATAATTTTCTACATTATGTTTTAATATAAGTAATCATTATATCTTAAATTAGAACTGATGTTCTTGAAATAAAATTAAAAGAATGATCAGCGGAACATAAAATATGTAATTATGTGTTTAGAAAATTAAATAATTTCAATAAAAGAAACTAAGGTTTGTTTAATTAAACAGGAGTTAAAATAGTTCCCAGAGAGTATTATCATCGAACACTTTTAGGTGCTATTCGTACACGACAAGACCTTTTTTGTCTGACGCCTATTGGCAGCGTTTGCAGTTTAAAAGGGTTAATGAAGTTTATTACAACTTATTATTATATTTTGTATTATTCATCTTTCATTAAGTGAAAAATCGAGATAAACGGCGTCCCGTTTAAGATTCTGTCGCTTCTAAAACCAATTCTATAATAGGCGTAATAATATGTAGTAAGACGTAGGCGGTAAGTAAATTGACCCACCACAGTCGATTATTCTCTTACGGTAAGAATCCAATTGATCAATTAGCTTGGTGCTTACATCTTATTGCATATTCTTACGATTGTTGTAGAATGGACTTGATGAGAAGTCAAGTCCGAAAATCGGGATGTCTCGCAAAAATCGGTTGATCACCCCCAGTGGTGGTGCTCTTCTACACGCGGTTCGGTTTACCTCTCGCATTAATCTTCGTGTAATTAGACTCCTCTGGGCGAGAAAACGGATGTTGACCTTTCGCCCCCTCTCTCGCGCGGCGCTTTCGCGGATGCTTCAAAGATGTGCGCGCGGCTGTCTATTTTGTGTTGACGCGTGCATATATATAAACGTCGCGGCTATTTCGGCGCGAGATCGCGCGCGCGAGGCCGCCGGCGAAAGAGAAATGCGACGCGACGTGTCGTGTCGCGTCGCGATGACGTCGCGAAACTAGACTGACGCGCGAGCCGCGCCACATAAAAATACTCGTGCGATAATAGAAACGACGGGACGCGATAAGGACTGCGAACTCGTGATCTCCGCTGCATGGATGGCTGGATCCCGCGAAACTCCGAGCCGAGCGATTTCCCGCGTCATCCTTCTGTCTATTTGTCTGTCCGTCCGGTCAAGATTGCATGCAACACGCTCGCTGGCGGGCAGGTTCGAGAGTAAAAGTGGTCGGATGAGATATGTAAATGAGCGAGTAGACTTAGGTAGCAGCGTCGTCGATAGGTAGTCTCGCCTTCTTGATTACATTTATCGCGCAAGGAGGGAACGATCTAATTAAAACGCTCGTTGTCTGCACGCTTTCGTGTCGAATCAATCGGCCGATTACGATAGCGGGATGAAGTTGGAACCGCGCGACGCTCCGTCTCTCCGGGCGGATTGACGGCTGTTGCAAACTCGATAAATATTGCATTCGCCGAGAGAGCCACGGTGTCGTGTCGTAAATAGCCGACCGGTATTAACTGCGCGATCGTTTAACTCGTCGCGCGAGTACGATCAGTTTCTGAAGTGTCGATAATGAGATATTAATTATCATCGCCTTTTACGTGCACATACGTCGTAGACAGTATCAAATGCCGATAGTCGACGATTATCCATTCCGGGCGTTTATTAATTACGAAATTAACTATTAACCGAAATTGTCGCGATACACACCGATTGCATCGTCGTCGACCAATGTCGCGACCAACGAATCATCGTCGTCGCTTCACGATAGCATTCCAGATCAAAAGGATGCTTTTCTCGCGGTGGATGACTCACAGAATGGAATTTGTGTGTCCTGCACGCATAGGTCAGTCCCGGACCTGCTGACGGTTTAAATTGCGCCGCGGCGATTTTCACCGTTCCAAGCATTGTTGTTTACGCGTAGATGCCCGATTTCAAGCACGGTCAAAGAGGGTCGCCTGTTCCTCGCATGTATATATTCGATGCCTGGCTGGGTGCGTGTGGCTTTGTGTGTGTGTATGCGTACCGGCGACCCACGCTGGCGCCGTCGTAGTCGCAGCCGCCGCCACTGCCGTCGCCGCCTTCTGTCTCGTACTCCCTTTCGTTCTTTCTCTCCGTCTTTCTTGGATCGAGTGAGTTGCTGTACCACCTTCGGAGGTCGTGTCTAGCAAAAATGCCCAGACCATTGTTCGACACTTCATGTCGTCGTGGTTTAACTATGCGCAATGGCCTGTGTAGTACACCGGTGGTGAGAACTAGATATAGGTTTGTAGGTAGACAGGTAAAAGTTCGTGACTTCAGATATGTTTTCTTCGAGTTGAAAAATCGCCTTGTGCGATCTCGGTCCGGCTCTATTGTCCTAGGTTGAATAACGCCAGACATATAGATTCCATCACGATCGGCGATTCGCACCGTTGGTGCAAACATATTCTACACAGAAAAATCGAATTCCTCACGATCGAGTCGACCTCTTCGTAGAAGTCTCTTGTTTTACATATCGAGACTGTATCAGACTTAACTTCTTAATTATGTTCGTAGGTAAATTACTATCTCACATCGTAGAAACAGAGATTGCGTAGATGATCGTCCACGGTCGTGACTCTTCAACCGTGAATTCCTCGATAAACTTTTTTAGCGAGGACTTCTTAGCGAGAGTCTCTGCCGAGCAACGCGCCACAATCGCGACATTTGAATTTGTACGCTGATAGAAAATTATAGTTATTTTTAGCACCAAACTCTTTTTTACTTTAATCACAAAAATGGCCAGAACTATTTTTGCAGTAAATATTATTACAGTGTCAGTAATAATATTTTGTGGCTTTATTTACATGTTGCTACTATTATAAAATATTTTTGGCACCGAAAATAACTATAATTTTCTATCAATATGTACTCAAGTATCGCAAGTATCTTCAAATTTGAATATCATCTTTTATTACGGAATATTTCGATCTGATCCCCAATTTGGTTTCTCGGTGTCCCGTGCAAACGTCACGTTCACGACGTCTCGTTTCAAAGCGACGGACAAGCAATCGGAAGAGCGCGGAAAGCGCAGCTAATGAGGGCAGTAGTAGTTTCGTACCGCGTTCGTCGCGCGTTCATACGTTCATTTACGTGGCAAGTCCGCTCGCTTGCTCGCCTAATCCTTACATCGGTATATTCGTCCGTCCATCACGATCGCCTCCGAGCGATCTTTCATTCCGCAGCACGACTGGCGCCGCTCGATAACGATAATTATCGTTCCCCACCGAAGAGTGTATCAATCGTTCGATCAGATGTGATTTACGACGCATTAGGATCGCAAGGTGTATCCTTCGTACGGGATTCCGTACGAGCGAATTTTTACGTCCACCTGCCGCGTACTCCTCTCTTTCTCTCTCTGTACATTCACTCGAGAGATGTATCGAGGTGTCAATGTATCGAGATATCACTGTTTAACCGGGATCGCGACGGAACAAATTTGGAGCACGCCGGCGAGATATCCGCCGGCTCGAGTCGCTAATTGCGATCCTCGCAACTTGGAGTGTTATTCCGCGACGCCCGAGATCTTTCGAACGGCGACGCGAGAAAATGCGAACGCAAAGATGCACTCGTGATGTACACACGAATGTGTGCGTGGGGATTACAGCTCTCGAGTTAACGCGAAGTTAAATGTCGACTGTAATCGATAGAAAGAAACGAATCTCTTGGACTGCGATAAGAAGTTAATTTTAAGGTAAAATGCTAATGAGTCTGCCATATCAGGGGAAGAGAGAGAGAAAGGACACTTTTTCGTATGGAAATGCAGTCCGGGTCAACAATTCAGGATCCAGTCTAGATTAGTTCCTTTCGACGTCGCAGTCTTATCTATAATGGAAGCGTTGAAAACGACGTAACTCGAGGAGAGCTGCACTCGCAAGAAATCGAGTTAATGCATCGGTTGAACTAGCTTCAATGTCTGAGTTGTTTCTCAAATTGCTATGCAAATAATGGTCGGTCGCGATATCGAAACGAGCAAATCAATGCGACTCATTATCAGTTTATAAAGAAGTTTGCGGCTGCGCGTGCTCGCGCGCCTTACAGCTCCATAGATCTCGAACATTTTCAGCGCTTTACGGAGACGAACACGGGAGACCAGGCTAATAATGCGAATTAACGTCAGACGCTGAGACGAGGCTCGCGTTGATTCAGAGCGACCGCCGGGTCTCCTGTGTTGTTGTCGTCCGTCCGAGCGCGTCACGGACGCTAAAATTCACCTGTCACGTAGGCTGAAAGCTCGCACGTACTTTTCACCACGTGGTCGCTCATCTTCCCCTCATGGATCTCACTCTCCTCTTCGATTCACGCACCCGCACGCACTCAACGACAAAATACACTTATGTTTCCCTGGCGGGACAGATCCACAAATCCGTTCGGGCACGTGTAACGGCGATCCGTTGTTCGATAATCCCAAAACTCCATTCACGGATAACGTATTTCTACCCGGTGACGTTCGGAGGAACCTCGCTAATGTTCAGTTCAGGCACTCGACAGAGGACGTCGACTCGACGCATCCTCCTCCGATCGCAGTCGATAGCGTACTGACTCGCCTCGTGTACTCGCCGCTCCGTTTCATGCCCTTACGTGTGCGAGGGAGTCTCGACTAGCCCGCACTCCACCACCACCACCACTCCACCACCACCTCCACTACCATCAGCTACACCGTCGTTGCCGCCAGTAACGTCCAAGCTCTACCACCACCACCACACTACCAATACTACTATCGGCAGCAACACTAGTAGTACTACTGAACTACTACCGCGATCACTACTACCAACGCGCAATCCGGCGTTGCTTTTCTCTCTCTCTCTCCTCCCTCCGTCCGCCAACAAGCTTCGAAACGGCATGCGAGAGCACTGATATGTATGGTGGGGACCGCCGGAAAAGATCCCGTGACAGAGAGCGGCGTTGGTGTTGGTATGTTGTCCCGCACTGATGGCCGATAGCTAGAACGCGAACTACGATGATAGTAGTGGTGGAATCGGCAGTATTGCCCTGATGGACGATGTTGGCTGATGTTACGTGACGCGTAACAGTAGCGGTGTTGTTGTCGGCCGTTGGTCGGACTGGCTAGCTAGCTAGCTGTCGTTCGATGTCATCGCTAATGATATGTGGCCGACGCTCTGCGGCTTCAATGATTCTCGATCGTTCTTCTCATTGATCCTGAATTTCCCGATCACCGCGACTCGGCGCCCCGACGTCCTCGGTCGACGTTGGGTGACGCAGCGTTGGCGCCGCTGAATCGTACTGGTGTCGGCCGTCCATTGGTATTGGTAGCCGATGTTAGGCGCGCGCGTTGGCGTCGACGGTCGCGGCGGGAAGAAGGAGACGAGGTGCACGCATTGTTGGCGGCGGGAGTCAGCGGGGGCCGACAGAGCGGCGCCAGCCGGCCGAGAGTTTAGCTCACAGTTTCTCTGTACCAGTCGCTCCTTCTCCGCCCGTCTCTCTTTCTCTCCTCTCGGCCCCGTCTACTCTCCGCTGACCCTACACACTCTCCTCTCTTCATTCGTCTCTCTTTCGTCGTGCTTTACAGCCGCTCTGCCCACCCACCACCAGTGGTGGTAGCGCGCGTATGCGAGTGTGTTGGTTCGTAAGTACATGTGTGTATGCGGAGGAGCCGGGCGGCAAGAATTGCAAGTTTATGGGACTCACTGACCACCGCGGGAGTCTTTCCCCGGTCTCGAGGAGGCCGTTTACCGGCGTTGATCTCCGGGAGACTCGACCTCCCGAATTTTTGCTCCTTTTACCATCCCGTCGCTTCCGACCGAGACTCCTTTCCTCTCGCGTCGCCCTACGCTCCTCCCGCGCCGCAATTCGCTCTTCTTTTCCTCGCCGCGGTGCAACGTCCCTGTCTCTTGGAAGAATGCTCTCACTACGCCAAAACCATGGGAACCACCCGCGGGCGTGCGTTCGCTCGGGAATTAGGGGCACTTCTCTCGGGGGCGGCGGAGCGACCGCTAATATCGGAGCTCGCCGTTACGCCGAATCGTAAATACTTGTGGATCCGTGCGAAAGCAACGACACCGACTCGCACCGCGACGAGTTGTGTGATTACCAGTCGTGGATGCAGGAATAATTACTGGATAAGCTTAGTGTTGCGAAATAGAGTGGGGATTGTTTCAATGTATCGTTCCATTCTCGTTACTGACTGTGGATACCTCAATCAAGGCGAATTTTCAACCCGTTAACGACCTCTCCCCCTCCGCGATTTTGAAATGCCTTCGATGTTAAGCTGTTGTAGCGAGTCGTGAACGTGAACGTTGCAATAATCGTTTCTTTTAACATATTGCCAGCCGCGCTGGCGTGTCTAGAGTGTAGAAATAGTGCAGTATATAAGATAGGCGACTTCAAGTTTAATCTCATCAGTGGTAACATGTTCTTCAAATATGATATTGATTGAATGAAATGGCATATAAATTAATCAAATTTCGGGCAAAATTATTGGCGAATTTCTAAGAACATCGCGATGAAAAATAACATTTTTTAGTATAAAAATGACACATTTGTTATATTATATAGACATTATAAATATATTAATTTAACATACAATTTGCTTCCAAATAATATCAAAGTGTTATATGTTTTGTGTTCATTTTTAGCATATTTTTGTGTTACTTTTCAACATATTCACCTTCTTAAATTAACACAAAAATTTGAGTAGTTTGGAACATGTGAAATGTGTTATATTTAACACCAAATTTTTTACTGTGCAGGCTTTGAAAAACATATATTTCGTAAACAGTAGGCAGTAACATATTTTGACTTGAATTTTTATGTTACTTGTAACATAGGAATTAATATATGAAATCTAAAAATAAGAAATAATAATTTTTCTCCAGAATCATAACAAATTTAAGTTGACTTATTGGTCAACGGTTGTCGCGGAAAAAATAGTTCTATCCGATCGGTTAGCAATGTGTTAAGTAGAAGGCTAAACTGCAGACTGAAGAATGAGACATGACCGTCACGCCACATCTCTCGTAGAAACTTTATTGCGCCGAAATTTGCCAAACGGCGAGCTGAGTCAAACCATTGCTCGTCACGTGTACGTGTGAAGCACATGCGGGTCAAGCAACAGCTAACCATGCAAGATGAGTCCCGTTTCGGACGCGATTTACGACTCTGAAAACATTTCGGCGGGCTCTCGATCCACCTACGCAGCCGCCACGTGCTGTTCGTTGGTAGCCATCTGCACTGCACACGACTGTATATCCCGGTTCTTCGCAAGAGCAAAGGAGAGAGAAAGAGGATGGTCGGGCCGAACGGTCGCCAATCCGCCTCGGCTTAACGTACCTTCTGTTGCACGACTACTGTAAGGTAAACAAATAAGATCTCGTGGGAGTTCCGAGAGGTCATATGAACTACTAATTTTTCTCTCGGCGGGAACATCTTTAAAAGATGTCCCAAGATATTCTTCGCCTATTGTCATCTCGAGGGAATCGCCAAATTCGGAAAATTGCGGACAACGGTGAAGATCCTCATCACCGGGAAAATCTTCAAAGCGAAATTAGCTGATGCGCTTTCAGTCTCCTCGGCCATCATTTCTCCGGGAAACTAATCGTTTTGTGCGAAGGTCAGATGTGTTAACGGAGATATGCCAGACGGAAAATCGGCTTTTTCTCAATTCCGTCCCTTTTAACAACCCGGTCCATATGGTCAAAAGTGCTCCGGGTCCTTCCGTCGGTCTGTTTTCGAGGTTGCTGCATGAGTCCTGCGCGTCGCGTGCTCTCTCGCGTCCGAAGTAGTCAAAAACTAGAAATCGACTGCGCATCTAGAAGCGTATCCGATCAAGGCCGTCGGAGATTTTTATTTAATCGTGCACAATTATTTTCCCCCGTGGAATTGTTAAACGATGTCTCACCGTGACGGCGCATATAATTGATTTTTGCTCGCCCGAGAATCGTTCGATTGAAATCTGCGATCCCTTGTCTAGTTTCATCGAGCTTCGCAGATAGGAGAAATGCGTGAATACTATCGCCCATCGACTTATCTATCCCCTCCAGTCGAAGAAAGCCATGTGAGTGCACGAGTACGATAAGTAAAAAAATGCTCGGTATTTGTAGCGTATCTATGAGAAAAAGAAATAAATAACACGATCACACTTATCGATTCGTAATCGCTGATAAAGTGATCGACGACGGTTACTCAAACGAGAGTAATTTGACGCGCTTTTTCATGTGAAATCGCGTAATCGATGCGCGCAACGAACTGCAGTCCTTTTACAAAAGAGAAGTTGTTATTTAGCCTACACAATGAAAAATTTTATGTTAAATTTAACACATTTCACATGTCCAAAATGACGAAAATAAATTTGTATGTTAGTTTAGCTCAAGATGAATATGTTGAAAAATAACACAAATATTGTGTAAAAAAATTAATGCACGATTAAAATATCCGTAATGTGTTAATTGCACTGAAGTACAAAATGTATTATTTTAATACTTACGAGTATTATGTGTTATTTTAATGTATACATATGTTAAATATAGACTCAACAAAAAATATGTTGAGATAACATAAAAATAATATGTTAAATTAACATACAAGTATGTTAAAAATTTAACATAAAAATTTTAACAAGGACCAATTTTAATACAAGCACAAAATGTTTTTTTACTATATACGAGAGCCAAAATCGTTGTTGTTCGAACGAAACCAAAATCTATCATTATAATTCATAAATATTTCAGTTTATCGCAGACCCTCTTAAGTTAGCATTTCTTTGCATTTATTTTTTCGCGACATAAAATCCTGACAGTTCGAGTTGTCGCCTTTCTGATTTCCGGGATTTGCTTGACGTTTTGGTCAGTCCCCTCTTCGAATACTGTGACATCGTCTCGTCGGCATGGAAATCAACGAACGAAGGAATGCCCGGCATCTGCGTCGCCGAAACGACCATGTGAGTTCTGGCTGAGATAATCTTCAAGCGTGAATCACATTCTTCCCTTACGACGCATCGGAATCAGTCGCGCTCCAAAATTACGCAGTCACTTTCGGGCAATGATTGCTTTACCCTCTCAGAATATTCGCGCGGAGATTCAGCGACACGAGAAGAGAGTATCGCGTAGCTCCATTTCTCTTTCGAGAAAAATAGGGAAACGTAATACGTAAATGGATGAAATAAATCCCAGTGAATACACACTAACAGTGACGTAACAAACAATGTGAGAGCAATATGTTGTATGTAACAGTTACATCGAGTGAAAAAATATAACATCGAGGTATTGTTACCGTTAGTTCATGTTTACTAAGAAATAAACGCGCGATTTTACAAATAAATCGAGCGATCCGTCGTTCGATCTAATATCGGGAACGTGAGAGATATTATTCAGCGTATTGTTGCTTCCTCTTGCGATTTGTCACCGGTGATTAAAACGCACAGAGCTTTTTCGAGTCAGGACAGTTGTTTTCGCACGCGGCTTCTATGTGAAGTGCGTGCAATCTACGGTATTCTTGAGACCGGATTATTTCAATCGAGATTTTCGATAAGATATGTTAATCCAGATAAAATTCCACCCGTCAGCTGTCGTCGGAAGGCCTTATCGTTCTATCATTGCCTTAACTTACTTTCGAGTCATCGCTGATTAAAATCGCGTATCGCGCATCAAATATCAGTACGGACGGTTTACGTGACGACGAGAGTGCCGTGTAAATATTGTCGTCGATGCGACACATAGATATATTTCACACGTTGTACAAATCGTGCCGTCGTAATTGTGCATCGACTGAAACGTCAATTCTCAGTAAACCATCGATTAATGGTCTTCTTCTTCTTTCACATTTCCTAACTGTAACTATACGTCTGAATTATATGTCTAAGCGTAATTATAGGCTTCATTAATCACGCGTTAGTTCCGCGAAGGAGCGAAGAAGCGAGGAGATATCGCGAGGCGCAACAATAAAGACGCGATCTCCTCTTTCGTCGATACATCGATCATGACGTGAAATAGATCGCTAATCCACCAATCGTACAAATCGTACCATCACCGGAAACTCACCACGATATTTCGATGCGATCAGCAGGCATAGAAGCAACTCACTTTTCTTCCTTCTCCTCACTTATTTAAAAGCATCTCACTTTTCTTCCTTCTCCTCACTTATTTAAAAGCATCTCACTTTTTTCTTAAAAAGAAAAAATAAGTCCACTTTTCTCCCTTTTTCCTGATTAAATTTGAGCCTTAAAAACTCGATTACAAGAAATTATGTTTAATAACTTCTTCTTTAAAGATAAAAGATTCAATGAAAATAGAACGTAATAATGAGACTCCGGCGGCACAATGTTCATAAAGTGCAGAAATTGTGTGTAATTTTATTTTTAGACTGTTT